GCGGGTTCTTCAAGATGCGCCCGTGTCTGAAGTCGTAGACGTGACGACAGAGGAAAACCAGCTCGGGGTCAGTGTCCTCGGGCACCTTGCGGTGCAGGGGTGTGGAGTACTCTTCCGAGGGAGGAACCATAATGGTTTTCCTGCCTGGGATCCCTTCGACTCGACGCTTTGCCAAGGCACAAAATCTGCAAGGCAATTACATGACAAGGGTCAGCGCGGACTCGACTCACCTCCCGCTGTTGGTGTCCGTCTGTCTCACTGGAAGCACAACCACGGCTGCCCCCGGGTTGGGGGGGGAGGAGGAGGAGTGTGGAGGAGAACTCAGAAGTAGCTGCTGCTTTGATCCCACCCCGAGCTGTGGGAAGCAGCACAGGTTTATATTTCTGTACCGGTGGATTCCGTACAGTACAAAAGACGACGGCAATTAATCCACCTCGCTTTCACTGCTTTGGCCTCCTTTTTCTTAATTAGCCCCAGAAAAGGCTTATGCATCAGGCTGGTTTTTAGGCAAACAAAGAATTCGGGATGCCGTCAGGGAACATCCTTCAAAGGTGACCTGACCCACAACAGCATGAAAAAATTCCTGCCAATAACACTTCCAGAGGACTGGGCTGTTAGAAAGGAAATGAGCTCTTTGGATCCAAAGCTTTGGTTGGTGGGTTTTTGGTTTGGGGATTTTTGTTTGTTGTTATGGGGTTTTTGTTTTTGTTTTGTTCTTTTGGGGGAGTGTTTTTTTTTGAGTTTTCAAAAGAAAGAGCAAAATTCAGCTTATAAAGAGTTTGTAAACCAGTTTGGTTTTCGAAATTCAAACAGCAGAGCCCCAGGCGAGGAGCAGGAGGGCCAGGAAGAATGAGAGATTTAAAGCACTATTTTGCACAATGGATTTGTGTGTCCATTCAACCCCTGTCTTCATCCTGCCCTGCACATCCATCCATCAAAGGATGGCGGTCTTGAATAGGGATGCTGGGAAGTTCTTACTGACGAAGCTTCAATTCCATCAGTGAGAGCTTAACAGCAAAAGCTAGACCAAAGTCTGTAGGGCTGGGATGGTTCTGCTGGGTGATGGCTGGGAGTGGAAAGATGGCCCAGAGCTGGAGCCAGCCGAGGTCTGGGGAGCAGCAGCGAGTTGAGAGCACCACCTACCTGCAGTACTCTGCAAAGGTCAGCACGTAGCACTTCTCCTCGATGCAGGCAACGCTGTTTTCGTCCTGATGCCGGGACGCAAAGATCTCATTCTGCAAGAGAAGGGAGGAAGAGGTCACCCGGCTGGCCAGGAGCCCCAGGGAGGGAGGGTCAGCTCCACACCTTCACCAGTCACCTTAGAGAGGACTCTAGCAAAGCATGCTCGTAGCAGATCCTCTTGAGAGCCACTAACATACAACCCAGACACCTTGCAGGTGTTTTCAGACCTATTTATAGCGTGCACCAGAATTTTATCCAGCAACATGTGAGCAAAGTGTTATGAGTTCTCCCATTGTTTAACCCTGCCCAGCACGCTTCGTGAGGCCAAAGTGTCCAAACCCCACACGTGCTGCCAACGTTACAAAAGTGCTTCGGCAGCTACACCACTCAGCCTCCTCTTTGCTCCTGGGGATGACACACAGCTCGGGGCCACCGCTAGGAAGCATCCCAGGAGATGAGCTTTTGCAAAGCTACGCTGGAAAAAAAAAAAATAAAAGCAGCATTTTGGAAGCACTATTGCAATGCCTGGGAATGACAACGGGACAGGTGAGAGGGAGGAAGGCTGAGCTCATCAGGCTCAGAAAGAGGAAAAGCCCTGCAAGAGGTGCCTTTGCTCCAGCTTATCCAAAACCTGGCTTTGTGCACAGGCTCCGTGTGGAAGGAGCCTTCAGACAGCACCCGTAAAACCCAGTGAGCGCTGCTCCGGCAGGCAGCAGGTCGGAGCACTCCCCACCCACGCGTTCCTCCGAGCTCCTCGGGAAGTTCTTCATTCATTTTCCCTTTCCTGTGCTAGAAACCCTTCCAATTCATTTGTACAGCTACAAATTTAAATGCAGGTTGAACAGCACTTTGCTGTCTTCACTGCTACCCTGTGACACACGACCAGTCTCTCTCATGTGTCTCTCTATGAAAGCTAAAGGAATCCCTTCTCCAACCTTTCCTCATCCCGATCCAATTACAAAGGCTGGTTTCGGGAGGGAAGTAGCAATAGCCTTTTTTCCCCAGAGTAATTTAGGAAATTTGGCTCTGCAGCAGGCAGGATTGGTTAGATATGGGGCAACCCAGACGGAGCCATTTGGAAGAATTTCAGGTGTGGTTAGATCAGCAGAGATGATCTCTGGGAATAAGGATGCTCTGCACAAGTGTGGAAGTGTCACCTGCAGGCTTTGGTTCTGCTCACAGCCCCGGGGAAGGAGGCTGGAAGGAAAGACTCAAAAAAAAGGGTCACCGTTTGGGGACATGCTTAACCAGAGAAACTGAGAACGCCACACCTTGCTTCTGCACGTTGGGGTTTTCCTCTTACACTCCTTACATCAAAACTATCTGAGTCATCTTTGGCAAGTCCTTCCCAGCTACTCAGCCCAAACAGCACCCTCTCATTTGAGGTCTTGTGTAATTAAGCAGGTGTGCAAAAAACTGTCTTAATTCCTCCTGGCCAGATGACTGGCACTCTCTACACCGAAAGATACAGTCACCCTCCACTTATGGACCAGAAAGCTGTAAGGTACCACATGGTGGTTTAGAAACTGCAAGTCAGGCAGGTGCAACTCCCTGGCTGCTCCCTAGTCCTGCTCTCACCCCTCCACCCCACCCCTTTACTTAAAAAAAGGTAAAAAAAAAAAAAAAAAAAGAAAAAGGCACCAAGTATTTTAGGGAGTTGAAAACAGCAGTAAATCCTCCATTCTCAGTTTAAAAACAGCTTGTTCTGTCACCCCACGCAAGCCCATGCGAAGCAGCCCAAGGCGTGAAGCCGTAATGATTCACACGTTTTCCCTTTTAAAAAGCGAACTCTGTCAGAGTGGCACAACATCCTCCAGCCAGCCCTTAATTCTCAGCGTAAATCTATACAGGGCAAGGATGATGCAGCCAATTAAGCAAGTCTGTGGAGTTTCAGGGGCAGATTGAGGGACGGATGACAAAAAGGCAGCAGGTGATATAGGTACTCTGACGTCCTGCAGAATTGCAGCGGGAGCTTTTGCATGGAGCTCTTTCCAGTTCACCTGGAAAGGCGTCTGGTCTTGATTCAGTACAAACTCCCTCTTCCTCACTCCTAAGGCAGCAGTCAAAACATTTTCCCACTTAATGCCCAGGCTTTTCTCAGATTAAAGGGAGGAACATTAAAGCTTAACAGAGGCGGCCGCATAAAGAACGCAGCAGCTTCTGTTACAGCCCGGAGTTTCTGCACGTGACAATAAACTGGGGGAAAGCCCATACACAGGACACCACCGCTCAACACATCTGGCAACAGCTGCATCGCAGCCAAGAGACAGCTCCGTTTTACTCAAAACAGAAGCTCAGCTCCCTGAGCTCGAGGCCACCCAGGAGCGCAGGGAGATACTCAGGCTAAGCCCCAATTCCTGCAGAAACACGGACGCACCAGGATACCCTCGCCCCGCGTTTCGCATCCGGATGCTCACCTGGTGCATACTGGGATTGCGGCCTCCCTGAGTGTGCTCCGGTCTGTAATACCACAGGAGGCTCATCATCAGCTCCCCTGCAAGAAGATTTATTAAAATTATGTCAAGTCTTGGTTTTCTCGCAGTGTTTTCCCACTGATGGGCAGCTTCCTCCTCCCGCTTCATCCCTTTCACTCCCGTGGTGTTCCCGCAGGGGCAGCTGTGCCGTGATAAATATTTCATGCTGGACGAGGTGTCCTTTTGTTACAGCACGAAGCTGTACGGAGGCGGTCGTGCTGCTATTCCGTTACACCTTCACCCCCTTCTACTGGTGGTGTTACACCTTCACCCCCTTCTAGTGGTGGTGTTACACCTTCACCCCCTTCTACTGGTGGTGTTACACCTTCACAAAGAGGTCAGTGAGGCACCAAAAAAAAAAAAAACAAACCCCAAAACCTAAAAAAAATACAAAACTGAACGTTTCCATCTGAAAAGTCTCTGTTCAGACCGGGAGCTGGAAGAGATGCTCACCCCAAGCTCGGTACTCGCAGCATTAACTCCCAGGCTAATGCCAGAGCTGCTGCCACAGGATGACACGACCAAGACGGGCCTCACCACGTGCTGATCACTTCTTTTATGCATAACTTTTCATTTTTAAGCAAGACCTGTACTTTGCAATGTTTGGCACAGCTTCCTCAGCTCAGGTATCACTAGTCAGACACGAGACCTTAACATCAAACCCACATTCCTCCAGTCAGTGCCTCTACTCGGGTCCCACCAAGAGCTCCTGCAGGTGCTCCATACCCGCTCCCAGCCCAGATGTCGGACAGAGCGTTTGTGTAAACAGCAGCTCCTGAGATGTCTGCTCCAATGAAATAATAAAGGAGACTGTTGCTTAGATGGGCACTTGGCAGACATTACGTGCTTTCACGACCAGGAAGATTTTGATTACCAGTCCCAGGCTAGTGATTAAAGAGTATTTCAGTTCCTGGAACAATCTGGATGACAACCATGGAGCTATTCCCTTCCCCTTCATCACCCGCCCTGGCAGCAGTGGAGTGCCCTAACAAGCTCGCGGCTCTCCCGAGATCCATCACTCCCCTGGTTCCAGCTCACCCTCCCCTGTTGAGCACAGAGGCAATACGTTCTCTTTGGCACAGTACCTGTTTTGGGGTCTTCCCACAGCGCTGATATCTTCGCAACGTAGGGCATGGACTTCTTCCGGGGCCCCGATTTCAAGAGGACGGTGTCTCGTACCCGGATGATCTCCCCGTCCCTCTCCACAGCCTGATAGCTCTTGCGAACGGCCGGCTCTGGTTCGTTCTGTGCCATCAGAACAGACACAAAGAGCAAAGCGACCTGAGCGTACGGGCAAAGAGACAGTTTCTTGTTTGCAACCCCAATCCTAGACTCCTTCGGTCCCACTGCCAACTGAAAACCAGCCTCAGCCTACTCAGACCCAAGATCTTCTGCTCCAACAGCTCCGCAGGAGAAGTCATACAGCATAAGACCACTCGTGGCATCTCTATTCCCACCAGGCTGGTTCATAAGAACAAAGATCAAACAAATTACTTTTTCTACGCGCGGGGCATTCACAGGTAAAGGGAGTTCACTGCGGAACAGCATCCAAGCGCTCGCAGGTCGCACGCGGCCATGGCTTTCAAATGAAGAAAACCACAACTACGTCTCCTACGTAGAGCTGGCAGTAAGGAGGAGCTCACCAGCGGGACAGCAAGTCTCACAAAAGCACGTATTTCTGAAATTAATACCCTTATTTTGAATTAAGAAACAACTGCTCCTTCAATGCTGCATGCAAAAAAAAAAAAACAACCTTCAGAAAAATCAGCATTTTATCTGCCTCCCCGTAGGTGTGTATTTCCTTCATACTCAAAGACACGGAAAACTAGGCATGTTTTGAATACTAAGAGCTTCTCCAATACAAACATTGTAAGAAAACAAATAAAACATGAAATATTTCACATGAACAGGGCAGGGAGAGGCAGGGAGGCCGTGCATAAAGCTTTCCTTAATGAGATTGCCAACGTTTCCTTCGTACCCCCTAACATCACAAAATGATCGCTTTTTGGACTATGAACCGGGAATTTTTATTTTATTTTATTTTTGCTCTGCAAACTCATTTCAGAATGTCGGACCAGGATGGGTTTAACCTCCTGCCAGATCTCCCAGGCAAAATCGGGAGCGCTGTGACTTAAGGAGATTAACGGTGGGCTGCTCCTTCCAGAGTGCCACGGTCTGAGTGACGGACCCAAGAGACCCTGTTCTGGCTTTCAGGGGCTTCATCCTGGCACAGCCCTTGGTGCTGGGCACAACCCTCAGCGCTGAAGCTACAAAACCTGTCCTGGCCAATGCTCTTGGCAGCTCCAGGTTATACCACCGCATCGAGCGACGGCACAGGGACCGCTCGGACCACGGCTCCCCTCGCTGCCAACATTCACTGCGCGCAGCTCAACACCCTGTCCCACCTTCCCAGACGGCATGTGGGTCCAGATTTCAAGTCCACAGCTCTTTTGTTTTAATAACACGAAGGATGTTGCCTTCTCTCTCAATTGAAGTGGACTTTATTGCAGCTAATTGAATTTTCTGGCAGGAAATCTCCCATCTCGCAGGAGCCAGTCTCTGCCCCTGAAGACAACTAACAGGAAAGTACAGACAAGAAATCGTTGAAGAAGTGACTGGCCCTGCCACCACATACGTTACTGGGTGCTAGAAAAATTCCAGCTGGGAGCCAGGATACTGCCTCATTCCTCTGTGCTCTCCAGGAGATGCCTGCTGGGCTACAGACACTCTGAGAGAGAAGAACCACCTTTAGACAACGGCTCCGTGTAACGAGGCTGCAACCTCCCTCGTTTGCTCAAACAGGTTTGCCCCAACTCAGCTGGGAGAAGCTGGAGGACACTCTCTCTCGCGCGCTCAACAGGTGCCACCCTCGCAAACGCCGGAGCCAGAAGCGTTCGTCATCGCGGCGTTTCAGCTGACGCTAGCACCGGAGCAGCAGGTTCTCCTTCCTTTCCAAACCACCTGTCACGCTGTGCAAGGCAACACCAAGGCAGGCGAGAAAAAACAAAGCCAACGGCAGCTCGGCCTCGAAGCGCAGCCAAAAGGCACTACTCGTTTGTCCAAGAGGTTCTAGATGGCATCTAGTGACCATCTCCGCCTTGAAGCAAGACCCAAACCACCCTCAAACCTCCATGATCTCAGTGCCCTGGAGATGCACAAACGGGTACAGCCCTACACCCAGGAAAACCAGGACTCCCCAGACACCTACCACGACGTAGACGGCCTTCTCGCAGGCTGCGCCCATGGGGATCC